CTATAAATTGCACAAAAATAATAAAAAATTACAAATAAGTTGGAACCATTTTTAGAAAATGATAGATAGATGGATACCTAATAAGAGTATTCGGTTAAACTACGATTGTACCTTTTCAAGTTATAATGGGAAATACATTTTGATTTTACGTTTTTTTTTTTTTTTTAATTTATTATTGAGAAAACTATTGATTAGAATCCCAAAGTTTTACTTCATCTGTATATGTATCCAACTATGGATCCCCCAAATTGAAGGTAGTCCTATTGAAAGTCGTTTAAAGACAGAAAAAAATCATATCAAGGTAAGATCTTTAGATATATGTATTTATCTCTTCCCTTATAAAATCTAACATAATATAACTTAACATAACATAACTTACTAATACATCATTCTTGAAAGTTGAACTGTCTAACGTAAATTGTAATAATCTTCAAATTATTTATTTTAAACGTATAAATATTTTAACAACAATGTTCACTAATGTAAGACCACTATAAACATACGCTTGATTGCATATTACATACGCGTGAAATATGTCTTATCTAATACAAGATTTTCAAATAAAATTTAATTTAAAAATATGAACATGATAAGTGGGATTAGTTGTCTCAATTTTGTCAATAGTCCCTCTTGATTTTAAAAATATGTTACTTAGAATTTATTATAATTGTTAAGGCAGTGTCGATCAACATATTAAACCTGTCCTAACCAGGGCCGTATTTATGCCTAGACCGTGAGGCCCGGGCGACAAATTTTGTAAGAAATAAAAAAAAAACCATATAAATATTTTATGCATTTATGTAACTGAGTAAATTAATATTATAGTATAGATATCGGTGTGTAAAATATACGGGCGCATGACACTGAAAATGTCAATAACACGAAATCAATTTTCTCGTAATGTGAACTATAAAGATAAGATACCTACCTAGGTACATAATGTAAGTTGTTCCTAAAAGTAATTACGATACTAATATAATATATTTAGAAGTTGACTAGAGATATTGTGTATCCACATCGCACACGACGAATTAGAATTAATAATTATTTGTTTCGTTTATAATGACTATTGACCTAATTTCTTTAAAATTAAATAAATTTATTAGAAATACTTACAAGATTTTTTTTTTCTTGGGGTAAGGGCGGCATATTTATAAGGGCCTATGGCGGCACTTGTTCTAATTCCGGCCCTGGTCCTAACTGACCATAATATGTGTGGACTAGTCGACCGACACAATATCGAGCGAGTTTTGTCGAACGGTTTTTTCCCCAAATACCCCTAATACTAATATTATAAAATTTGTATAATAATTGATACATAAACGAGTGATTCAGAAGATATTGCAGTAGGTGCTACTGCGATTATCATAAGAGTTGTTGGAAGCCAACAGATTCGTCGTCGCAGCCCAAGGAGGATTTTGGTATGGCGTAGCCGTGTCCGAGGCAGAAAAAAGTATAGTACCTACGGATAAATTTATGAAATATTTATCGCTTGATGAGGTTGATCAGTTGAACGTGGAATACAGATGTGACTTGGGCTTTCGAAACTTTTTTCAGAATGAATAATTCTGATTTTAAAAATATACGACACAAGTTATTGTGACAACATGAGCTTCACGTACGTCCGCACTACTGTTGTCGATTCTCTTTGATCCGTACCGATTTGATTCGGGTCGCGTTCGATTGGGCCCGACGTGTTTCAATAAAGCCGGGCCACACGTACATTTTTGTTTGACATTGTCAATCGACACCATTCGGCAAAGTGCGGCTCGACAGTCATAGAAAACTACCACGGACAACAGCAGCAGCACGTGTCGACCGTAACTTTTTTCGACCAAAAACTTGGTTTTATACGGGGTTTTATAGTTCTATAACACGGCTCGCTCAGTCGTTTAGAACAAAAACCTATCTGCAACGCGCTTGTGTAATTATGTAGTTGTTAGGACTGGCAACGTTGATACTGGAATTCGGTATTTGTTTAATCTACAGTAATACAATTATTACAGAATACAAAACTTGTGTACGGTGTTTTAGAAAATATATACATAGCCAGGGAACCAAAACTGTTCTAATTTTTTTATAATAGATTTGGTCACGAAATACATTTTGGCCAACATTGACGATTAATAATTTACATGTGGGACTAAATCATTGGCATTGTACATAGTTGTGTACTAATGTTGAATTTATTAAATATTTTCTTTATTTTTAATTAATCCGGTATGTTTAATGTCGTGTTTGGTAATAATTTATTTTATTTTACTCATTGGTTTTACTATGGATTTATGAATGATATGTTTTTTTTATGTCTGTATACATGGATTGCTCGGTTCATCACAATTATAGGTTATAGGAAATTATGTGTGGATGATATTTTAAGGGAGTCATTTTACGGAATTCCCAATGCTTTTCTTAACAATTGCAAAATAATGACAATTATTAAAGAAAAAACAGCAACATTTACGGCAACTCGGTTTGTGATAGGGATGAGTAAAACTCTTTGAACATCGATTTTCGATGTATCGATACATCGACTTTTAAAACATCTATAACCGTAGATTAAATATATCTACATATAAAAACGAATCCCTTTTTCCCTTGGTTAAGCCATTACGCGTGAACGATTGATTTCGCCAATTCTTTTTTTGTTGTGTTTGTTATTGTCAGGTGAAGGTTCTTATGAAAGAAAATTTAAGAATACTTAACCACCATATAAAATTATTTCTAATCTAACCTTAGCGATTTGGACAATATAAACTTTTTTAATGTAACCTTTTGACGTTTGACATAGAATTGACGTTTAACCGCTATCGAGCTGCATTCAATTATAACGGTGAAATCGATCACAGTTCACAGCAAATCGTTGCTAATCGGGGATGTATTGGTACGTATAGGTACGTGGGTATACCTTTAAGCAGGATTTCGATTTTCGGCGTATAGGTACCCAATGAAAAATATTATTTCACGGGGATACGTTTCTAAAATAACTCGAAAACCAACATTTAATAGAAACTAGTTCATCGGAAAAAATTGTTATAAACTATGAAGTTTGAATGAAATATATATCTGTTGAGGATTACAATGTGTGCTGCATTTAATGTATTTTAAGTTCAATTTAGTAAATAACATTTTGAATAATAGATATTATTAAATGTATTATGGGGTATGGAGATTCAGCCCGTGGTTCTTAAATCGGCATTATACAATTTATAACGCGTGGCAAATGTATATCTTGTGGTGTTGTGTAGGGATTAATTTAATTTATTTGAACATAACGAGAAAATTTTTTTAAGGTTAATATCTATATTTTTTAATTCGTATACCCTTAAATATATTTACCAATACACCACTGTTGCTAATGGACCAATGAACATTGAGTACCAATATTGCAACGCATTTATGTTTAAAAATGAAGCTCCTGGATTATGTTGCGCGAGCGGTCAAGTCAAATTGACGCCATTGGTACTGCCACTACATTCATAGGTTTCCGGAAATAGGCCAGATTCTAAAAAAATGTTGACTCATATCCAGCAATACAATAATTGTTTTCAAATGACGTCATTTGGTGCAACAAAATTTATTCAAGAAAATGTTATGCCAACTTTCAAGATTCAGGGTCAAATATATCATCTAACAGTTCCTTATTGCCAACACCGAATAGTGGCTGCAAACTTTTGCAAATTTATTTTACGGGCGATTCAGCAAGACAAATCGATTATGCGAGTCGATAACCTATCTGTTACCCCTTCGGATGGTGAGTATACACCGAGAGTATGGAAAACGTACCTTTTAAATTGAAAATTGGAAATCGATGGTACACAAAAAAAAATTATATTGCTATTTTCCTAGTAGTTTTATTAAAGCAAAAGGAAAAATTAAAATAAAACTTGGAAATATCGTTAAATTTCGTCCCAATATCGATTATTTTTCTTTTGATAAAATTAATAATTAGGTGACGTGTTGTGGTAAGAGGCAAATCGTTAACTCTTCCGTGCTTCAAGATAATTTAAAAAAACGTAATAATCTGGATTCGTGTTAAGATGTACCTACGTTTATGTTACGATATGAAATGATTAAGATTACATAAAGGATGTCGATTTTAGGCAACTGTGCAGTTACACTCAAAGCGCCTTCAACGGGATAATCGCCGATTCGAACCCCAACGTTTTCGTTCCACGGGCGGTAACACCGCCCCGAGAGAACCAATGTTACACGAATTGCACCCAACTGATAGCTACCATACATACAACACAACACGCACGGGTGGTTTAATGGGCCGAGTTGGCGAAGTCCCTTCGAGAAAAAAAAAATAGAAATAGTTACATTTAAAGGAAACTTTTTTAGCTAAACATATTTCCTATCCGTTTTGTTGTATTTTTGCGTTGTTCAGATTATACAAGATCTGTTCAATAGATCATGTAAGCATTTTATGTTGACTTTCAATTGTCTTCAATGTCCACTGATTTATTCTCCTTGGTACGAAATATTCTTCGGATAAACTTTAAACATAGTATTATTTTATCTAACTGACAAGCACGTATCGAAAACAAGTTTATAATGGCAATGGATATAAGGTTGTATAAAACAACTTTTGAAAGTCAAAAGCTTTCGGAGATGTAAAAGACTGTAATAAAAGAGTCCCAAAGAGACATTCCTAGACAATGCTGTTATCTCAACAGCTTGAACATGTGTTTGGTAAACGTCAATGGAGTTCCAAAAGTCCCAGCCAGAATAAAAGTTTGTCAGTTTATTTTGTTCCGATATCTCTTCTACTACTTTTTTATAAATAAAAACTGCATGCGCATGTAGTATATACACAATACACGGCTTGTAGACAAAAATGAGAATGTTCAACGTGTTTTATTTTTGGTTTACTTTTATTTACTTGGTCAGATCGACGCAAGGGTTTCTGACAGTCAGGGATTTATCAAAGGATAGTTAAACTTAAAACGATAAATAATAAAAATAGAACATGTTCTGAAAAAACTTTAATACAGATGAAAAATATTAAAAAATTTGAAGCAGCATAAGGAGATTAATATATTTACAGTAAAAAATATACTAAAATTAAAGTAACGCGATTAAGCCATTATACGACTTATAGAAATCATATTTTTTAATAATCATTACATATCAGATTTTCTGAGTTATCTTCAGTAATATCATTGGCAAAGTATCACTCATATTTCACGAGCAGCTTCAATGCCTAATATATGGAAAGCATTTTCATACACTTGTATTAAAGCTTTGACCAAATATAAACGAGCATACATCAATGGCAAGAAATGTGGAAGTGGATCCTGAGAATTAAAATATTGAACTTATATTATTATTGATAAATATTAAAAAACATAAAATAATAGTTTTAAAGTTTTATGCTGTTAGTTATTAGAACTTAGTATGTACTAATTTATAATATAATTAATTATATTTATTCTAATTTAATAGTAAATATAAATTAGTGAATTTAATTTAGAAAATTAGATAAAATAATTAAAAATGTATTATTATTGTAGAGAAATTAAGTTTAAAAAAATTGTAGTTGAAATAATGTTGTTTAAACTTATTTATATTGATAATAGAATATTCAGATAAAAAAATATAAACACATCGATAAAAACCTTATTATTATTATCTGTCCGCCTTTTTCACAAAAAGGGATCAACATTAGTTAAAGATTTTTTATTCTTAGTTATTCCACACCCAATAAAGAATATAAATCTAATATCTCTGAACTTTTAATACATTAATAAAACTTGAAGAGGTATATTAAAAATAATTAAACACGAAAAATTACTAAAAATAATAAGCCATCTTATAAGCAACAATATTATAAATCACTTAATATTTCAGATAGAAAACATGTACAGACCATATTATTTATAGTAGGTGATGACAATTTATGTCATCAAACTATACGCATTTATATATTTATCTCTACACTTACATTGTACATTTATTAAATAATAATGGAAAATAAAGATAGGACCATTAACTTTCAAGAAATAGATTCCCTTAAGACAAATTTCACATAGTTAATAAGCAACAATTTATTAAAATATTAGATATCAAGCTAAAATTAATTATATGGGCTTTAGTAACAAAGTCTATTAATCATAGAAAAATCATTAGTAAATATCATTGTAAATAATAAACCATTAAGAATACACAATTGAGCAAGTTATTAATATTTATGTAGTCCAAAATGTATTAATAAACATTTTTTTTCTCATACAAATTACTACACAGAATTGTTATCAAGATAAATTTTTTAAATAAAATATTCAATTTTTATGAATACAAAAATGATTTGTGAAATAAGAAATTATATACATTTCCATTCAAATAATATGATACTAAACACCTACATATTAAGAATAAATATTAAACGCTGTATTTATTTTTTAATCAAACTAATAATTTTTTTTATGATACAGATAAAAATACAAATAATAATATTTTAATTAAGAGGAAAGATAAACAGAAGTCAACTATTCATTTTTTTTTTTTTTTTTTTTAATAACAATAACATACCCACTTAATTGTATACATTTAAGTAATTTTATTTTGTCTTTAAAATAACTAGTTCTCAAAATAGTATTCCAAACTTAAAATGTTATTAAAACTTTAATACATTGAATTAAGTTAATTAATGAAAGTGGACAAATTGGACATTTAATAAATTGTTTTAGTTCTTGAAAATATGGATAGAGAAAATACAGTAAATAAATCTACAACTAATAAAATAATAAAAAATAAAAATAAAATTAGTTTAATAACAGTTATTAACTAACCGTTAATACTCTTTAATTAATATATAAATAAATAAATAAATAAATAAATACTTAGACCAGATTATTATTATTTTTGTAACGTGCAGCCAGTTTCAAATTAAAAATTCATCATCAGGTATATAAACAAATAATACACAAAGTCAATAATATCATAACTTGTTGAGTTATTTTTATTAACTTTATATATGCCTGATGATCAACATTTAATCTGAAACAGGTAATACTTTTCTAATATAATACTCTAAGCTAAGCATTTATTTATGTATTTCTATATATAAACTATTTGTTTATTTATTTACATATTAAATCTATGACATTCATGACTATACATTTTTTTTCTTCTATATTTACATGGCAGTTTTTTTTTTTTTTATACAGAGTTTGATTAAGTGATGAGAATGGAATAGTTATATGTATATATTTATAAACCGTGTCATTTAAAATTAAAAATATAAAGTACAAGCATAAACTACTTTCTAGTTAAACAAAATATACTTACCATTAAAATATTATGTTTATGATAAAATGAGCTAACACAAGATGACATTTCCACCAAAAATGAACACAGTTTATAAACACCAATATGGGCTGATGATAAATATTTAGTACATTCTTGAATAATTGATGGAAATACTGATAAATAGTTAAAAATCAAAATCCATTCTTCCTAAAATATACATTCACTGTTATTTATTAATCATATTTTTAACAACTTGTGAAGCAAAAACTGTTTACACTACTAAATATGCTCATATAGATGAAAAATGTTTTAAATTAAAAATATTGTATGGTGATAATACATTTTGAAATACATAATAGGTATATAAATAATATAATACATTTACTATTTGGAAATAAAAATGAGAATTATAAGTTTTAAAATACTTTTAAAAATGAATATTCAAATAAGTTTTAAGTTTAAATAATCACATCATATACATGTATACATACACAATATTTAATGGTTTATTATTTTAATTTTTTTTTAATATTTCTATGAACAAAAATAACCTATTACTAGAATAAGTAAATAGTACTTGTGATTATTTAAAACATTTTAATTTAAAATATTGAATAAATGTTTATAAGAAATTACTAACCAAAAATGTTTCAATACTTGAATTAATTTCTTTTAAAAAAACCTTGATCAAACTTTTTTTAGTGAAGATTTAGTGCTAAACAAAGTTGTTAATAAAAGATTCCATTTACATATGAATGAAAAACATATTCTCTTATTACACTTTTATATATTTACTGCTTAATAGATATGAATTAACTGTCAGTATTTAGAATTTTTAGTGTTATGCACAAAGAGAAAGTTATAGATAAAGACTTAAAAAAACTAAGGATATAAAATTGGGAAGAGTAAGTACAAAATATAGAAGGTGTCAGTGGCACAGCAAAAACTCAAGAAGTTGTGATGCCAGTAAGAAGAAGAAGTGATTCACATATAATAAAACATTCAAAACACTAAAAGATTTAAACACTGAATACAAAATGTACACGTGAAATTACATATCAATGCAGATTTTTCTAACATACAATTTAATAAAATCAAATGTTAATTTCACGAGGATTTATGTAAATACAAAATAGGGAGTTTTAATCTTATTTTACATTATTATCAATACACTAAACATGATTTTTAATTTTAATTGAGATTATTTCAACTTTTTGTTATTAAAAGTATAATTATAAACAGTTTTCACTTAACTTAAATTTTTTCAAACTACAGAACTTACAGTTTTTTGTAACACTTTAAAATTAATATCTTCGATATCTGGTAATGCTCTATAATAATTATCTGTATAATTTTTTTCGTATACTGCCAACACTTGACACAGCCTTGAATAGTTATACATTATGAAAATACCTTCTAAAAAAGAAATACTTTGATATTTGCTAGAAACTTAAGGGCTATTTTTTAAACTCACTATCTTTATTTGATGTCGCATGTTGTACACGAATAACTTTGTTATGTCGAGTACATAATAATTCATAGACAATTGATGAGTGGCAAAGTTTTGATATAATGTCAATTGGATAATCACTAGAGTTATCAGTACGGCTAGCACACATTTTAGAAATATCATCATGTTTTTGTCTAAAATATAATTTACAACTGTAATAAAAATAAAATTATTTAGTTGGTTTAATATTTACTGTTTATATTCCTTTGATGTAATATTAGGTACAACATTGCCACATATTACAAGATTTGTAAGATTTGAATTATTTTTTTTTGACAACAAAAATTTGAGTCCATTATTTCCAATAATGTATCCATTCCATACAGCCAAATTTTGAAAAGCATTCTTCAATAATGAAATACGCAAGCTTGTTACCGAATCATCACACTCATCAGCAACTACTAAAATTTCCTGTAGAATTAAAAGATTGAAAATAAAATGCTTATACAACAATAAATAAACTGTTAATTACAGTGTTTTGGCATAAATTATTGCTACCATATCTACTGCCTTGAGTTAAAATCTGTTTGATCACTGAATCTGTCCATAGATCTGTTTTCAACCATATTGATGCATAATCAAGAAATTGATGGTAATGATCTATGGCATCCAAGTTTTCCGCAAGCATTTTGAGGACAGGCTCCAAATTCTAGAAAAGAATAATTTAATCGGTAATTAAAAACAGGTTAGTCAGACTATATGTAGATTCAGTTGCTGATACAACCAGAAAATATGACATAGCTCACGCGTTTTAAATAGAAGCGGATGTGGCCATTTTCATTTGGATCAATGGTTGGCGTTGAAATATTTATTTCTATGTTTGCATGTGTGCGAAAGAATAATCGTATCGATTCACAAATATCAATAAAAACAGACATGATCAGTAGAATTGAGATGACAATATCTACTTAGACACCAGTGGTTCAGCGTTATGAACTGGATGGATATTAACGAGTCACAGTTGGTTGGATGGTGGTCCAAACACTGCACCCGAACAAGCGACTGCAATATGATACAACCAATGTTTATTTCAGATCTTCTTTCCTAGGGGATATTCCTAGGGGAAATGTACGGGTCTGTGTACGCTGTCGGTACACTACAAGAGTAAAAAATTAATAAATAAATACATTTTTCGGGGGAGTAAAGGTCACCCCCAAAAATCAACACCGGATAACACACTTACCATTCAGAATCGACACTTGTTTTTGGGTTTAAAAATATGAATGCAATATATATGTACGAAACGTTCTCATCGGTAAATACTTACAGGCAGCAATTACGCAATCAATCGCGCAACAACGACGTCGAACGAAAGCGAATGAATCACCGCACGAATCTTACGAACGCCGTAAACGGCACGTGCGGCACATGTCGAAGAGTCGGTGTGTTGTGGTCTTGTGGACGATCCGTGCTACAGCGGTGTTGTGATAAGAAATCGGGAACGCATGGAGGGGAACAGCCGTCGCGTCGTTGGTCCGGACCGATGGGCGATTGCTCCGCACGACGTTCTACGATTTAAGATGGAACAAAAAAAAAAAATAACATATCTTGTTAGGGATCCCGACCAACGCGTTCCACGTGGTTCAACGCGGTATCAAGACATGCCATACGCGGCACCACGATAACGGCGGCCGGAGATAACGTAATGATAAGCGACCGTATCGTATCCGCTGAGAAGGGCTTACGTCATAGTATTATTTCAACGACGATCGCGATCGGTCTTGCATCTGCGGCAAAAACTTGTCGCGCTCGCACGACAGCCGTAGGTGAACGTTTCGCGAGTGCGGCGAGAGAAAGACGGATAACACGGAAATACACCGCCGCTGTGGTTTCCCAATCGCCACGCGCTCGCCGTCGGTTCGTTTTGCATTAACGACCGCTACACGATGAACACGTAGAGTCCGGCCCGCCGCCTTCTCCCGCGATCAATATACGATCCACACGGCCGGAGACGCACGCAGTCCCCCCCTCTGTGGGCAAGGTACCTAACTTTATTAATAATTATAACCGTCGTTTCACTTCTTCTTCTTCTTCTACTACTACCACTACAAACCAATTTTTTTTACTGTCAAACAACTACTACTTGTCACTACTATACACACTACTTTTCCTCGTAACGTGTTGCACTCATAACGTACTGTGCGTGGTGATAATATTATTATAGTAAAACTCCTTTTTTTTTATTTTGTGAATGTTATTATTTTTTTTTTTTTTTTGATTCCATCATGTTCATCGATTTAGATGCGACACAAGACCAAAGGAGTGTCGACTGCGGTCACCAACTCCACAGCGAACCGTTCGCCAAATGACTCTAGACCCAAATCAAGACAGAAAAAACACGACAAAGTAAGTAGCAATTCGTCTGTTTAATCACATCATGATTACAAACTTAAGCTTTTTTTTTTTCATTATATTACTAAATAGCAGCTATTATCTTTGTTTTATTACTTGATGAATTACATAACAATTAACTTTATCTTCATCACCATTAAATATTTTATATTGCTATATATTTTCACTTTTGTTAAAATAGCAAATAAATTGTAAATCTATGTTAATCTCATGATAAAATAATTAATCCTTTAAATTATCTTTAAATTTTTAAATTATATGACAATTTTGATATTTTCATATACCTACAACATGTTCGTATTTTTCAACTAGTTATTTTTTTTTACCTTGAACAATTATAACACAATTGGTATGTATTGCAATGTCATTGTTTTTCAATGCATTGTATTATTACAACTCAATTATTTTCTTTAATAGTCTTTGTTCATTGGTTTCTCAATTTTCTCAGATAAATCAATATTTGATTTTTTTTGAATTTTTAAACCTTTAAAAAATAAATAGTTTATAAAAATTAATATTGCCTTATTTGGAAATATATTATAATTAATGATCATATCAGCTATTATATATATGATGTATAATTCCTCAAATAACAGAGTGAGTTTTAACATTTTTCAATAACTTATATACTAATCAGTTAAAAATGACAATAATGAACATAACCAACAATAATGACAACATAATGAAAAAAATTGCCGTTATAATACAATTTAATTTTAACTGTACAGAATGTTATTTACTATATATCTAAGAGACGTTTTAAGGAAATATAAAATAAATAGGATCTTAAAAATTGTGAACCTTCAAAGTATGTATTCTTGAGAGTTACAGAAATTGTTTAACATAATGTGTTATTTTAAAATATGCTGTTGACCAATGTTTGAAATATAATGCTTATATCTAACATTTTTTTCTAGGTATTACAAAACGGACAGTGTAATTCTAAATCCAAACAACTAAAAAAATCTTCAACTATGGATGCGCACTCCATTGTGATATGGAAACATCCCATCTTAACTTTAGATTATTTCTGTAAAGAAATAGTATGTTTATCCAAGACGTTTGTAAAAAAGTAAGTCTTAAATACTCTATTTCTTAAAGTGTAACATATTACACTAATAGGAAAAATAATTTCTTTTTGGGGTAATCATTGATAAACAAAATAAGGTGAATTTGTTTCGACCTAGTCACCATTTGATTCACTTCCTTGGCTAAATGACCCCTTAGAGAAGAAACAACCAAAATACACTCGGGGGGGGGGGGGGATAATAGCCAGAGTCTTCAAAGCCTTCTTAAGTATCTTATTCATTCATTTCTTTATTTCATTCTAAAAATAACTATAAATAAAAGTTATACAAGTTATCTATTTGTTAAAGTCTTATTTATTGAATTTGTTAAAATGTGTCAATATTTTATGAAATTAAATTGTTTGCTGAATTTTGAAACAGAAGTAGTTTACATAATCAGCATATTAATGAATGTTTTGAAACATCTAATTTATTAACAATAGTATGTTCTCATTTTCCTTAAAAAGTTATTTTATTATTTTCTGTTATTTAAACAGTTGTTAAAACAATTATAATGTTTATTCATTTTTAAAATAGTTTAAAAAATCTCAAGGTTTACTAAATTTGTCAACTGGTATGATAACTGTTTTTGTATGTTTAATAATTTCCATGTACATTAAAGTTCTAATTTCATATAAGATAATTAAGAAAATTTAATTTTGTATGAATTTATGCAATACCTATATTATGTAAATTTGTAAATCATATTTTTTAACATTAATTTTTATTAAATAATTATTTATTAAAATTTATTAATTAAATAATTACATTGAAATGTTAGACATCGGTCATATGAATAATTATTAGCTATTCCACTAATACTTATATTGCTTTAAATAATATCTAATTGAATGCCATTTAATTTTGTTACTTATTCAAATTTAATCAGATAATTTATGATAATTTGAAATGATTCATATGTACTGTTTTTGTTAATTTTTTTTTTAAAACATCAATGTATATTTTAAAAAAATCATTGAATACAATAAAATATTTACTAAAATTAATAATTGTATAGCTAATTATTGAAAATAATTTATTTTCCAGATTAATTTGTTATAAGTTGTATGTACTTCTTGCACTCATAGTTATATCTGCTCCAATTATATTATTGTATATTGAAGGTCCTCATTTACCGGTAAGATATTTTGTTGAATTTAAATTAAAAATGTACCTGTTGATTTTAATAATATTGTTTCAGATTTTAATTTGGGCAAAATCAAAAATTTCATGGTGTTTATATTGGTTAGGTCTAGGAGTATTGTCATCAGTTGGTTTTGGTACTGGTCTTCATACATTCCTTCTTTATTTAGGTCCACACATTACTTCGGTTACTTTAGCTGCCTATGAATGTGGCGGACTCAATTTTCCCGAACCCCCATACCCTGAACAGTAAGTTGTTATTGATTTTTATTTTATAACAAAGATAAATTATCCATAATTATATATATATATATATATATATGCATATATTTTTAGAATTATTTGTCCTGATGAACTTGATACTGCTTGGACAGCTAGTTTGTGGAATATCATGTTTAAAGTACGAGTTGAAGCTATGATGTGGGGAGCAGGTACAGCACTTGGTGAGTTGCCACCATATTTTATGGCAAGAGCTGCTAGACTTTCTGGGAGACCACCTGATGAAGACAAAGAAGATTTAATTGAATTTGAAGAATTACTGAAAAAAGAAAAACACCATGAAACAATGGTATCAATTCTATTGTTGGATTTTTTTTGAGATATATACATGATAATTAAATTTTAATTTTTAGACGTTGGTAGAACAGTCAAAATTATTTGTTGAGAGACTTGTAAAAAAAGTTGGTTTTTTTGGAATCTTAGCATGTGCCTCTGTAAGTTAGTATTTTGTTAATAATCATAAACAAATCTTATGAATAAATTTCATTGATATTTTAGATTCCTAATCCACTGTTTGATCTTGCTGGAATCACATGTGGACACTTTTTAATACCATTTTGGACATTTTTTGGAGCTACTCTTCTTGGTAAAGCTGCCATTAAAATGAGCATACAGGTGTTATTCGTTGTGGTGGCTTTTAATGAAACTCTCATTGCAAGTGTCCTCGATATTGTTGGCAAAATTCCAGGAGTTGGGAAAAAATTGCAAGCTCCTATTACAAAATTTCTAGAAAACCAAAAACAAAGGTTACATGCCAAAACAGACTCAAAGGTAAATAATATTAAATTCATTTTTTCAATAACTATACACATGCAACATGATTATATATATATACATATTATTTATTCTAGGGAACAAATATTGTTGTGAAATTGTTTGATTTGTTTGTGTTATCAATGGTGCTCTATTTCATTATATCCTTAATCAACTCCATGGCACAAAATTATTATAAGCGAAATCACAAGACTTCAAAAAAACAATCAAGTGACTGACATATAGTAGTCAACCGTTTGAAAAAATCTTATCATAAATCCAAACGGCATTGAAACAATTATTATTAATTTATTTATTCAATTATTTTCATACAAATTAAAAATTATAATTTCTTGGTACACAATTATAAATTCTTACATTATATATTTATTATATATTAATAAATATTACAGGGTTTTGATTTATAAATAATACTATAAAATTAAAATATGATTAAAAATCTTTATAAATGAATATTATATTAAGCTGCTCAATAATCTAAATGAAAATTGTATTTTATTGTAAAATATAATATTAAATTTAATAATGTATCTGGGATGATAGTTTTGAGCAACAAACATTATTTTGTTTGTATTTTTACTATGATGTGTTCTGTGTGGTAAATTTTATATAGTATATACATTTTATCCGGCTAAAAGAATGTTATGTAGAAATATTTTTAATGTAAATGTAATCCATAAGTGTTACCAATATTAAAGTTTAAGTGTAATTATAAATTTTTCCTATGGGAATTCTCATAGGAAAGATTTGCAATTACACTTATACTTTATTATACTTAATTCAAACGTTATTAATGACTCGTTGCATTTTTTTTTTTTTTTTAATTATTTGTTATTTTGAATTATATTGTTTTTTCGCCAAATTGAATGTATATTATTGCAAGATAAAAACTTGTTAAATAACTGACTGATCGACCAATTAAGTGATCAGGGCGAGTATCAAAACATATTTCAATATAAATATGTATGTCTCATCCAAAATACCCTCAGTTAACTTTGTAAAATATATTTTTCTTTTTAACTGTTTTAAATTTTAATTGAAAATAATATCTTTGTTCGCCAAATAATGATATAATTTTTGTAAGTCCTTGTTGAATATTTGTAACTTTAGTAGCTATGATTATGTAATCTGTGTAAAATTTAGTGGTAGAAGACTGTTCCTCTTCTGAAAACTTGTTCATTCCTGTTTTGAAAAAAAAATACTGTCAATAATAATAATATATAGGAATATTTTTATTCTATTACTATTATTATTATTTTTGTTTTTTAGTTTTATTACTCTAGAATGGCGAATATATATAAGTATTTATATGGTCGTCTATATATTAGTAATTACACATCTTAAGTAATAGTTGACAGTTCTATTCTTTATTGTAGAAATATAATGTATTTAAGACTATTTTTGTTCTCATATAGTGTTATGTGTTTTTCTAATATTAAATTATGATTATTAGTGTTCAAAGAATAAAAGTATATTCAATTTCACGGACGACTCACATCGACAACATTTTCCTCAATATATATTATAGGAATGCATATGTATAAATTTTGTGTAGATTTTTTTTTTAATCTATTTAGCAATGCTTGTTTATGTTAAATTGATCGACAACCAGAGTTATTTTTATTCACACATTCAAATAAGTAAGAAAAAATTAAGTACATTTATGCAGTTTTTTATGATTATTTACAATACATAAATATATTATATTATATAATAATAACTTACATGTGTATCTTTCTATGAGGTATTTGTGTGTTCATTGAAATTAAAATCAATAAAAACACGCACTGTTATACTTTAAGTTATTGTTCATTTTATACTTATATAATATATTAATTTAAATATTTTACAATTTATTAAACATTAACTAAGTGTATGTAGTTAAACAACATTAATAGTGTGATGGTTTTATTGTATGTGCCAATTTTGCGGAGGAAGGGCATGACAATTTTTGTCACAAACATATATATATATATATATATTGTACATCAGTGGCGCTCACAGGATTTTTTCCGGGGGGGGGGGGGTACAACCCCTTAACCCCCCCTGCGTGCGCCACTGTTTTACATTGATATCTACTCATAACTTAAATTAAAATTTGAAAAGTTAGATTATGTTTTATCACATTACTTATTACAGAAAAATGATGAGTAAATTTAGTATTATGGATATTTGATTATCAAATTACAATTGTATTTGTGTTACTTATAAGATGATGATAATAAAATCAAGTTTTATGTTACATCAATAACTGTCAATTGTTAATGTAATTATCTATTTAAACAACAATATTATATTTGGTTTTGACTACTTACGTGTTACCTATATTAGTTGCATTATAACACTAATATTTATTTGATTTATATGTTATATGCATAATATAATATTATATATTTTATGTATATAAATCGAAAACCTTAAAATTGAATTGATATGTATCTGATATTTTTACTTTAACTCTTTTTTCCAGCAGTCATGGACTTTAAATTATGAAAACGGAATACTACTGTACATGTAGCGTGACATTTTTTAGATATTTTATTCTATTTTACTATAACATTCTATATAAATTACTCAAAACTTACAAATTACTCAAAAATCAAAATCATTGCATTGTACGATTAGAGTGTAATTGATGCTATCAAAAGTAAATCAATGACTATTATCTATAAATATTTATATTTGGAAAAACATCTCTCCGCGTCCTCTGAAGTGATTGGGAGACGCAGACGAGCACTAACCGACGTTTTAATTTTCGCCATTTCAAAAATATTACGAAAAAATAATAAAATTTAGATATAATAGGTATTATCATTGATTTTATAATATAAAATATATATGTATATTTGTATTATAAAATCAATGGTATTATTCACTATTATATGATAATAAAGCGACGACAGTAATCGACGGGATAATATCGGATACTAATCGAATATTGGAAAAAATAATAAAATTTAGGTATAATATTTGGGTTGCCTTACGTCCCGGAAAACCGGTTTTGGACTTTGCGTCCCGGTGTCCCGAAAAATATTTTCGGTATTACGTCCCGGCTTAGACGTTTAGAGGAAATGTAGTTTTGTTTAATTTATAATTTCCACCATTTCATCTCAAAGTACATTTTTAATCGTGATCGATAACAATATATAATAAAAACATAATTTATGATTTACACATATAAATATACAATATATTTTATTTTAAAAAAAAATTTTTAAATATTATATTGCCAGCTATTAATGATCTTCTTCAGTGGCGTATACATAACTTTTGTATGAGGGGGGATCATTTGCAAACAAATCTTTATTTTTATGTTATCATTATTTTTTTTTTCTACATTTCTACCGCCCTCACACTAAGAACATTATTTTATAAAATTTAAAAAAAGGCCTAGGGGGATCTGACCTCCACATCCCCCCTTGTATACGCCCACTCTATGTATTAAGTTATATAAAAAATATATTACTCAATATTGTGTCCCGGTTTCGCCTAATAAATTTATGGCAACCTTATATAATACTATTCACTACAACACGACAACGACGAATGTAATCGACTTGATAAAATCACACAAGTCTTAAATTATCGGCATAATTATCAATAAGAAACAATAAAGAAATTAACTATTGGGAAATCAGTAAAAATGACTAAAAATGTGGAAAAATCACCTAAAAAGGTCAAGAAATGACTTAAAAAGTAACAATCACCAAAACATGCAAAATAAAAATTAGTTATTCGGATTCACAAGATAGCGTCTTCTAAAAAGTTCGAAAAAAAAAAATGCGAAATGCATCAACTTTCGAGCCTTATTCATCAGTATTAATTTTTGTATTTTGGTGTTCGAGTGGCGTCTAAGTGATACAAACATACAATGAAATCTATATTACATATTAAGCTTTACCAAATCCTTTCATTAACAGGTGGTATTGTCAAAAAAGCCTGTCATTTTTCCTATAGTTTTTTATAAATTATTTTGAAAGTATTAGTCCATCTTATTTATTGATATATATATAAATCATGCATTTGACATTTAAAATCAAAACAAACCTATATTAATTTTTTATGTATTAACAAAAAAAAAAAAATTTATAAATGATGAATGAAAATGAAAAAAATTCAACCTAATGTTTTTAATTGTAATTTTCTTACTGTCTAAGTTACATTTTTCAAATTATATTAATTTTCCGAGGGGATATTTCAATATCATGTTTTTAATAATTTATTAATTAGTACCCACTAAACTATATGTTATTAATTTTCAATTGTTAATATAAGAAAAAACTATTTTAAATTTAATATAAAGAAAGTTTTTTGATTTATTGGAATTTGTTTTAAATGTTGACTTGATAACATTGTAGAACATTTTAAAATATTTCTTAGGTAAGAAAAAGACTTAAATATGTTAAGAAGAAGGAAAGGTAAAAATTGTACTTTAAATTGTCTTATTTTTGGAAAAATATGTACTTTAAATCCAAGATAAACACAATAAATTCATTACAAATTAAAACTAAAGAAAGTAGTGAATGCCATAAAAATGTACTATGTATTATTGTCTTGGATAGCTAATTTAATAATCACAAGGAAATAAACCTAACTGTACTGTTTATTAGTTTATCTCAAAACAACAATTCTTTATTTACTAATTCCATTAAACCATGGCCTATGAATAGTAAACACAATTAAATTGATGACAGTCATGCTGAGGCATTAATTAACAAAAAGAATACATATATTTTTCAAGGTACATTATTTTATTACAAACAAATAATTTCATTTATCAAATATTCAAGTAACAGAACCAAAAAATAGAAATAGATGATACATTTTATGAACATTGGGAATTATAATATTATGATGAGAATATTTTCAATACAGTAGTATCAAATTAAAATATAGTTATACATCTAACAGAACAATACACTATAACTAATTTCATTACAAAATATAGTCTGATGGAAAAATTCAATTCTAAATAAATACATGGGAAGTAGATATTCTCACATATAAAATTCACAGCAATGATTTTAAGTTAAATCACGAGCATTATGTAATTTACTATTAAAATTAAATGCCTTAAGTGGCAGAGATGCATAATGATTCTTGAGCAAACTAATATATTTTTGAATTTCTGAAACAAACTAAAAAACCATAATAAAAACTGTAATACCCAAACAGTTTATTAATACTTTTGAACATTTGATAGGTATTGTTATTATTCTTATAACATTGATTGAAAATCAAACAAATTGAACGTTAATGAAAACCAGATGAAAATATAAAGAACCATACGGAAACAGCTTTGATCCATAATTATCACTCACTTAAACATTTAACTGCATAACAATAACTTCTCTAAGGTATACCAGATATTTATATCACAAATCCTATAATTCACAATAACCAAATAAATTATTCATGGGAAGTTTTCAAAAACTGATCATAAACATAACATATTTGTGTAAACAACATAATATTCTAAATACTATTTTTAAAAGACTAACCCAAATGATTTACAGTTAACAGAATAAATAAAAAATGTAATTAAATTATTGTTAATAACATCGGTCTTTCATTGCCATTGACTGTACTTAGACAGAACGAATTTTACATTATTTATCTTCATCGTCATCTTCTTCGGACTTGTTTTGTTGGAATGTAGCTAGTAGCTGTTCAATTCGTGTATAAATGTCACCATTCTTGCGTTCCAAATGATCAAGAACCAGATTCAAGTTGTCAATCTCCTCGTGTAGTTTGTACACAACTGTAAAATGCGAACATGTTGGGTCAACGTCATGGTCCCAACAAACGAGATTTTATTACTGACCAGCATTACCTTCTTCGTTCTCTTCAGTCCCTACCCTAGAGGAATCCAACGACGGATCGGTCGTTTCCTCTACGATTTCCATTTCGGCATCGTCAGCCATGTTGACTTAAGCGATCAAACGTTTCAACAATACTGCAATGGGCGCACGAGTAACTGAACGAAGTAAACGAAAGATCAAAACTATATAGTAAAATATTTATTATCATCTACGCCCATTGATAAACGTTATCACGTCTGCAAACGTGTGTAAATGAAACATTATCGTTTGTATGCACCTATAGTTACCAATTAGTTAGCAATAGTTACCAATTAACTATTTATAATAGGTCTATAGTCGTTTACCATCAATCATAGTCGTCTTTTTGTATACGGCCATTTAGACCACTCAACCAAACATAGTATTTAATAAATTTAGTATATTTTATGTATGGTTGACTTTTTATCGAAAATTACTCATACGATACAGATAGATTTGTTGTAGCCCTCGTGATTCCTACTACACAGGAGCGGACTAATAGTTTTAGGCCCCCATATTTATGTAATAATATTAGAAAAAAAAAGGACTCATTAAAATATATTCAAACTAGCTGCCACGGACTCTCCAATAAATATTTTGATCCATTGATATCGTACTAAAGTCGCATGATTGGGTGACACATATATTAAACTAAATTACTCGTGTCGTATAAATTTTCTATTCGTCATTTATAAGCTAAGGCTATATTTTGATTAATTTATCCCAAACTTCGATTCTGTCCTTGATGTATTATTCGTTCAAAGTTTGAAAAGTTCGCATTATCATTACATAATGGTCTTGTAGTAATCAGAAGTTCTTTTATAATATAAAATAACTTATATAAATTTTAAATCTAATAAAATATAGTGTGCGTATCCTAGACCAGTGGTCTTCAACCGGTGGGTCACAATCCAATTTTGAATCGCGATAAATCTTCTGTTTAAAATTTAAAAATTCATATTTAGGTATATATATTATATTATGTATGTCATATGATATAAAATGTTTCGAATAAATACTATTTTATACTATTTTATATTAGTAGAAGATTATAATGAACTCTTTTTCCATACACTTATCCTATATTATAAAAAAGCTTCAACCAATATGCGGCACATGTAAGCCCGAATTAAAGGGGGGCCAGAGGGGGCCATGGCCCCGGGCCCACAATGGATATCAAACGATAGTAGGCCCCTGATGAATAGTAAATTTTTTCGTTTTTTAAATTATTTTTTAGCTCGTATAAAAAACAAGTATAAAATACGAATAGGGACAAATGGACGTAGCCGTTTGGACGTGGGGATAAATGGTCGTCAAAAAAAAAAAAAATATAGGTATTTATAAGTTATAAACCATTGATATTTTATGTTCATAATATAACTAATGGTATCGTATCATAATATCAAACCTTATCGAATTTTATCGTTTCGGCAATAGGTACCTTTTATATCAATATATATATAACTAGGACCCGGAATTATATACACTAAAAACTGACAAAATATGCATGCATTTATGCGATGGTTATCATTCAAATATGCACTCAAAATATGCAAACAAAAATACATGTTTATTATTTATTAAATTAATTTAATTTTAAAATATATACAATTCATTAAATAATTAATATTCAACAAAAAATATACTTTGAAATTTTAAGATTTTTTCTACCGATGGATTAGTGTTGTTGTGTAAAGGTACGGTTTCCAAGCTGCGGCTGGCCGCAGCGGCTAGCCGCAACGGCACACGTAGTCTGACTGTGCTATTTAAAATTGCGGAGCGTGGTTTCCAATGTGCGATCGACGATTGCGTGATTTAAATAGTCGTTGCGGCTCGCGACTATAGTGGTCTGGTAGCAGTACATTGCGTGAGTCGTGGTGCGTGTCATATAGTGTTTTATTGTATTTTTTGTATTTTAATTAAAAACTATGTCAAAATCTACATTTTCGTCGAACAATGATGAAGTTTTGGTGGAAGAAGTGGAGAAGCAATCCGTATTGTATGATAGCTCCCACGAATACATAAAGATATTATATTATCAATAACTTCTTCCATCACTATACTTTGTTAACAAACTAACAATTAACAACAAAACTAGTATAATAAATAAATTATTTACCAAAAAACACGTCTGTACTCTACACAATATTAGAGTAAAATGAACTCCGGCCGCAACGTCTAGTCGTATTTAGGAAACCAGTCGGCACGCAACGTTTAGTCGTTACGGCTGATCATTGCGGCCAGCCGCAGCTTGGAAACCGTACCTTTAGGGATGCAATGTAAAAGTTGCTGCTGAAAAACGTTTTAAACACCATACAACGTATATCAAGAGACAAACATATAAATGGAGTATAATGAAGAGAACAAATTGAAGAACAAGAAAAAAATATGTTACAAAGTTTTATTGCCGATACATTAGGTTAGAATACTTTTTAGATTTAACTCGTATATTTTTTTCATGTAATATTCCGCTAAGTAAGCTCGATAATTCTATGTTACATTCATTTATGGAAAAGTATACCCATAAACAAACTTCGGATCGTTCTACATTACGGAAATTTGCATCAGTATTTACTACGATGAAACTATACAAATTATGGGGTCTTACGTAAAAACCAAAAAATATGGGGCTCTATTGATGAAACGACAGATGCCAATGGTCGTTTTGTTGCCAATGTCATAATAGGGACATTAGAAATAGGTAACGTAGGCAAAATTTTTTTATTAAATTCAGAAATTTGACTTAATTTCAAAGAAATTATTGTAGGGAAGGGTTGACCTCTTCAACCCTCCTGTATACGTGCCTAGTTTTATTATATAGGATATAGTCATTTAAATTGAGAAGGAAGATAGTTGTGGAAATATTTTGAGTCATACCAGTATTTTTGCAGGTTGTTTGAATTATTATATTAATTATTATCTTACTGATATAATGTTTTAAAAAATTAAAAATATAGAAGTTTTGTTATATTATTTGAGAGTTATCAGTGATGTAATTATAACTATATCACAATAATAACACATAACCACAATAGTTTCTTTTAAAGTATTACATCATATTAGGTATGTATACCTACTATACAGGTAATGATTAATGATATATTATATTTCTAAATAAAATCGTTTTTTCGAATAAAACAAATTTATTTTAATGTGGAAGCTCTTAAAAATATTTCCTTGTGTCAAAAATACATCCATCCACCACCGTGTGTAGTAGGTAAACGAAAGCATAAAATCGTATTTTAAACGTGTCCGTCACTTTACTTGTGTTGTAAAATAATGACATCGTCGACCAGACGTGATGTAAGTAGTGTGTTAACGTTTAAAAGTCTCAGCATTCATATATTTTATAGATAATTTCTTGGATCAATTGAACGATAGGTTTGTGTGTAATCAAAACTCTGTAAAAAGAAAAACTATCACCTTATATATTTATAGTATAAAATAAATAAATAATAAAAAAAATTAATTTAACTTATTACTTACCTATATGACTTCTATCTCACAGCAATATAATTATTAAGTACGAGTTCAATGATTATAAATTATACGGCCTTATTCAGAATGATTGATAAGCTCGCACGTAATTATTAAAAATGTTAATAATAATGTTGTCGCCAAATGTTTAATATTTGATATAAACGCGAATGTGCGTCATTACTCATTACATTGGCCGTCATATATAAAGCTTATATCAAATTCGATTTGTCAATGTTTTATTAAACGCGATTGTGAAAAATAATTTGTTCAATGCCATTTAAATTTTGTTTGGCTTTATCATTTAGTTTGATTTTTAAACTTTAGTCAAGTTCGTATTACGATGAAGAAACGTTTGAATTCCAAAAATATTTGAGTACAAATGAAGTCAAGTAGGAATACTTGGCAAAACTTTAAAATAATCTAAATCAATAGAATAAGAAATCAAAATTTATTATTGTTTTCTGCTCTTTAACTATATCACGAGTGAATATAGTTTAATGTTTTAAAAAGTCATTCATTTCCAACAATAGCGTTGTTGTTATGAATATTGCAATAATTATATAATAATTATTATGTTGAACATATTATGTTGACACCGTACTCACTGACTACTTCGGATGAATTGGCGAGTTAATCTTACAAATACTAAACTTTTCATAATAAACAACATATATATTAAAATATATAATATAAATATAAAAAAATATAACACATATATTTACAACATATATTAAATATTCAATATTTATTTATTATACACATTGTTTGGCATATAATTTTATCGTGACTTCGTGAGCATACAAATATTATTGAGTATAACAAAAATAATTGCATTTTTCGTAAATAATTTTGTTGTACATAATTAATAAATAATAAAATATATTATAATACAAATAACTATACAAATAATATACAATAACAATAACAGTTTATATGTATATATATGTTACCGGCAATATGGATAATTCAAGTATTTTATAAAATACCTAGGCATTATGCAAAATGCCAATTTTTTTTAGTACAAAAAATTTTATTATATGTTGTATTACATTGAGATTCTTATAATTATTATACATTATTACTCATATTACAGACAACATTTAATTTATATATATTATTATATTATAACATGTTTTAGAAAAGGGACATTTTGAAGTTCACAAAATATTATTTTTAAGGCAAATACACTTTTTATTTTAACACTAGAACTTACAAACACATTTTCAAAACCCTTGGCAAATTCTTGTGGTTTCAATTTTTATCAACTCATACTGTTCATCAGATAAGAAACTAGTATTAGTGGTCAAATTTTTAAAAGAAAAATTGTAGTTTGTTATAAAAATTTGACTTCATATAAATCGTATGCATAGTTGCAACTCCAAAACGAGACACGAAAATGACGAGAAAAATTACGATATTGTAATAAAATTATTAGTACGTTCAATGTTGTATTTCAGAATTATTATTTTAGTAGTAAAAGAATATTAATCTTTATTGCGTTAAATCGTGAATGCACACTTATAATAAATGATAAGTAAAGTCGTTGGTAATAGGGGATGTCCAATTTTGTTAGTTTTCTTCATATTGCTTACTCTACGATTGGCATTATACATAATACCAAGGAAAAGCTCGTATTATGTATATTGCTGAGTGATTTTTGGCATTTTGTATAATGCCTAGGCATTTTGCAAAATACCGGATAATCCATATTTCCG